ATCCCTGCCTCCCTGCCAAGCAATTTATTTACTGGTATTGCAGCCAAACACTGGACAGTCATCAAGGGGTCTGAGCCCTGCCAGGCTGAAGGGTTATTGAGACAAACTCTGATTATAGATGTGGCACTAGAGAAGATGGCTGGGCAGATAGGAAATCCTTTGGCAAGCAAAGGTGTTATACTGAGGCAGAGCTGGATGGGGGGAGAACCTCCCCCTAAAAGTTAACTGTCCCTGTGAGACGTTGATTTTATGGGGAGGGGTTCATAGCTCAACTGACAGGCACTGGGGGAGTCGAGCCCAGGATGGATGCTCCTTGTGCATCCCTTGGGAGGTTGTTGTCCATGTCCACATGACAGCCTGCCACAGGACAGGACACAACCACACTGACAGGACAGGCTGAAGCTACTAGCAGCCACAAAACATCATTTGCTCTTTGCATGGGAAACTGGAACCTACCTCATACTGTCAGACTCTGCTTCCTCCTCGTTCTTTTGCTTCTTCCCCAGCGGGAAACTGCAGTCCATCTTCCCTCTCTACTCTCTGCTCTCCCTGTGCGAAGGAGCCAGGACCCTTCAGGAAAGCTGACAGAGGGTCTGAAGCCAGAGACATTGGTGGCTCACATCCACCCTGAGCTGCCATTATGGGCGGCTGCAGTTCAGGTAGACCTTAGGACTGTGTAGGTTTGGTCTTGCTCCATCCCATCCACAGGCAAAATCCTGAACAAGTCAGGGTGGGGAGCAACAGTGATGGGTGACAGTAGCTGCTGCAGGGTGCATTGTCAGAGGAGATCACAGTCTGGTGGCCAGCCTTACCTGTGTTGGCTAGGCTTGTTCTGATGCTTGATCTGTGTGGCAACACAACAGAGGTGTTTGAGGGTGGGATTTTTTGTAAACACAGGGGCAGGAGACAGGGTGGATTTCCAGTGAAGTCAGAGTCTGTACAAGGTTTGTAATGGATACGACTGCACTGAGCCTGAATTGGAGACACTGAAATGGAGAAACTGAGGCTGGCAGAGGGACCATGCTCCAGCAGATGGTTATCCCAGTTATTTGGGATATATCCCCTTTGGATTTATTGGGCCTTCAGGCAAACTTTCTGATCTCTTCCCTGCTAGAACAAGCAGTCCTCAGCATCTTACCTGAGGGGTACTTTGGAGGGTGTTGTTAAAGCAAGCTCCCTTCCAATCTCTCTGAAGCTGGATATACTGAACTCCCCCTCCTTTTGGGGTTGAGATTCACTTCTGTGCCTCCCCTCTTCCCACATCTGTTTTTAGTCTAGCCACATCTGGCCTTGCAGGAGGAGGCACAGAGGAACATTTCAGGGTGGTCTGAAGGATTTTTATGCTCCCCAGAGGCAGGATGCAGTGCCCTAAGAGCTGAGCCCTGGGCTCTCCCCTGGGGTGGGGAATTCAGGCTGGGAATATGATATTTCTTCATCCTGGCAAAACAGCCTGCAGCTCCAGAAAGCACAGAAGTCATGGATTACTGAATGCTGGGGTGTGGGCACAACCTCCTCCGTTCTCTTTCCCCAGTGCATCTGCTACAGACCATGCCCAGAAAGAGGACCTGCTCAGAGGGACTCTTCCAGAACAGCCAGCCTGCACAGTGCAGCCTGCACAGAGGGACTGGGGCACTGGGCCCCCCGTGCACCCTCCTGTCTCTGGCAGCAAAGGGGGTTTACTGGCTGCTGGAGCCCTTGAGCTGCCAGACACTGCCTGGGGTTGCTCTGTGCTCCCTACTGGCGTTGACTGGATGGATTCCCTCTCCTTTTCTTTCTGATGCATCTCTCACCTTCTCCCCCCACCCTCCAAGGAGCTGCAAGGGGACTTAGCTTGGGCTGCCCCATCCTTGAAGGTGCTGGTCACCATGGCAGCTCCTTTCCTTAGCAGAAGGGAACCTTCTTGGGTCTGTTTAGTCCCACGTCTCTGCTGAGGATTTGCACAGGCAGAGCACCCACAGCCAGCCAGGATCTGAGCTCTGCAGTGCTGAGCCATCTTTCATCTGACATTTGTATTTTTCCTGAGCTTCTTATATGGTTTTAGCCTTGAATATGTTTTGTGTGCAAAATAATGCAGGGTGTGCACGTCAGAGCCACTGTCACTGTGTGCCCCTATTGCATCCCTAGTTTAACTGGCCAGAGGCTGAAAGCTGGGTCCCACAGGCTGTCTTTCCTGGTACTGAGGGGCTGCGGGTGAAGGAAGGGCAGAGCCCCACCCAACCTGTTCAACACATTCCCACCCAGCATCCAAATACTTGGGATCAAACCCGGACCATGTTCAGTTAGTGCCCCGTTCATAAATTCCTGCCTGATGCGTCACTGCTGTGTTTGTGAAGGACTTGGTGGACACCTTGGAAGATGGGCAGGTCGGGATCAAAGCTGGAATCTGAGGGAGATAGCACGGATAGTGCCCCATACCTTGTAAAGCAGGTGAGCTGGAGTTACCCTCACCAAGCAGGGGATGTCTCTGGAGCCGTGATGCTCTGTCTCACCTGCTAAGACACAGCAGCGGGGACGTGTCAAGGACCTTTCCCGCTGATGCCCCCCCCTCAGTGCCGCTCAGGCACTTTACTCCCAGCTGCAAACCTCTGGGCTTCATTGCCACCGCGCTGCTGGGAGAAGCAGTAAAAGCCGAACCCTGGGGGGACAATAAAGCCAGGGGAGAGGAGATAAGCAGGGATCAAACACAGCGCAGCAGCCACCCCACGCCGGACTCTCAAAGGTCCCTTTGTTCCTGCTGCCTCCTGATTCAGCACCGCGCTGCCTTCAAGGGCTGCGGGGAGATAGCGGGGCTCCCGGGCAGCCCCGCGCCGCAGCCCCTGGCAGTTGGGCAGCCACCTGCGCGGCCTGGCAATAAAAGCAGGAGGTTTAATTTCAGTCACAGGACTGATCCCAGTTGCAGACCGAGGCCTGATAACGTATCTCGCTGGTTCCTATCAGCCAGGCAATAAAGCCATTATTGGGGCGGGAGATGATATAAGAGAAGTTCACCTTCCTTCTCATCCCAGGCTTGCAAAGGGGATGTCCCCTGCAGCCCCCAGCCCCACCACCCCCTGACCTGCCCCCCCGGCTCTCTGCCCCACAGCTGCCCCCCAGTCCAGCTTGATGGGGAAGTGCCGCCGGCCCCGCACAGCCTTCACCAGCCAGCAGCTCCTGGAGCTGGAGAACCAGTTCAAGCTCAACAAATACCTGTCCAGACCCAAGCGCTTTGAGGTGGCCACGTCACTGATGCTCACAGAGACACAGGTACCTTCGTCTGGGGGGAATGGAGGATGGCAACAGCTGTCTGCCAGGGAGGTGGGGGGCTGCGCTGTGGGGTGGGAAGTCAAGGTCATGGGCAATGCTGATGCCCCTTGTTTGGCAGTTATCTGTCCCACACCCCATTGCCCTCATCAGCACCCCTTCACAGGGTATCTTCTGCAGAAACCTGCCTGATGGGCTCCAGACTCTCCTCTTGTGAAGGTCCCCCAGAAATACTGCTTGTCTTTTAAACCCACCACCCCCAACATAGATTTCAGAGCCTTCCCATCCTGCCCTGCACAGTGGGAGGGGGCTTTTCGTGGGGCTGAAACTCTTCTTTTCATGTCCTCATTCATGTCCTTGAAGATCCCACAGGACTGCTGGTCCCTTCTGTCCTTGGCTGCCCACCACAGAGGCTGGGCAGGGGGAAGAGAGCAGCCCCCCGGGTACTCCTCACCCCAAGACATCCTCAGCCTCCTTGTAGACCTGCAGCACCATGGAATGCCCCCCAGTAAAGAGGCTTTGGGTGGACCCTCCATGCAGGGAAGGCGAGGGGGTGAGTGGGGACAGGATGTGGCAGGGGGACACACTCTCCCCTGGGGGGTCTCCCTTGGCAGGTGAAGATCTGGTTCCAGAACCGCCGCATGAAGTGGAAGCGGAGCCGCAAAGCCAAGGAGCAGGGGGCTCAGGCAGAGGCTGAGAAGCAACGAGGGCTCAGCAAAACCTGTGAGAAGCTTCTGCCCAGTGAGCCCCAGGGACAAGCTGCTGAGAGCCCTGATTTCATGGGGTGCAGTCCCAGCTCAGGCTTCCTGCACTGCAGCACTGCCGAGGTGGGCTATGGCCCAGACTCCTCCTGCTCGGGTTTCGGGCAGAAGCAGTACCTGTCCATCGCCGAGCGCGCCGAGTTCTCCAGCTCTCTCAGCCTCACCGAGACCCAGGTGAAGATCTGGTTCCAGAACCGGCGCATGAAGTGGAAGCGGAGCCGCAAAGCCAAGGAGCAGGGGGCTCAGGCAGAGGCTGAGAAGCAACGAGGGCTCAGCAAAACCTGTGAGAAGCTTCTGCCCAGTGAGCCCCAGGGACAAGCTGCTGAGAGCCCTGATTTCATGGGGTGCAGTCCCAGCTCAGGCTTCCTGCACTGCAGCACTGCCGAGGTGGGCTATGGCCCAGACTCCTCCTGCTCGGGTGGTGAGGAGGAAGAAGAAGAGGAGGAGGATGAGATGGGTGCCACGGAGAGGAAGATCGGCTCTGTGTTGTGAAAGATGGATGGAACCAGCCTGGGAGAGGAGCCAGCCTGCTGTGCTGGGGGTCTCTTTGCTGACAGACACAGACTGTGCCCGGGTGGAGTGGTGGGGGCTGCAGGGCACCTGCCCACCTTTAACTTATGTGTGTTTGGATCCTATTTAACTTGTAATTATTCCTCTGTGTGTACTGGGGGAGTCCCCACATCCCTCCCCTATAAAGCTGTTATCTGGATGCCTGTGCTCTTCCTTAGGGGATGGGAGGCTGTGCCCCTGTCCTGCCACCACACTGCCCTGCTGGGGTCCCTGGGAAGCAGAGGGAGGGCAGGGAACTTGCACACCTGGCAGTCTGTAGGCACAGCCAGAAGGGAGAGACCCTGGACCTTCCTTAAACTGTGCCCTGTCCCTTCCCTACAGATATGATGATGCCTGGAGCAGCACAGCACTGCATGATGCCAGCTGCCCTTGCCCTTGGCAGCATGAAGGGCTGAGGAGAAGGATGCCCAGGATGCCTGCCTGCCTGCTCTGCCACCACCCTGCATCCCTGGGGGGTCTGTGCTTTGCTAAGCAAAATTAAGTTGCCCTGTAATGCAGAGCTGATTAATCAGCTAATGCAGTGGTGCTGTTTTCCCTGTTGCAATCAGCGGGGTTCCATTGGTGTGGCATTGCCCTAAAGTGAGGTGGGGATGGAGCCCTCCTGGGTTTAGGGTGATGGTAAGGCTGATTTGAGGGCTCATTGCTGTGGTGAGCCTTGCTTCTCCCATATTGAACGGGCAATATTTAAACCCCAGTCAGCCACTTTCTCTGCTCATTCCATGATAGTTTTGGGACCCTGCTAGCTCTGCTTCAGTTCACATGAAGCTCTGGTAGCAGAAGGACACCTTACACCCTCTGCCACCTCTCTAGAAGAACTTTAAGCCCTGATCTCCGTGAGAGGGCGTCTTTGTCCTCAGGATGCTGGAGCATCCTGGCAGACCTTGTAGACCTCCCATGCCTCCTGCAGGCTTCCTGGGCCTCTCCTGGGCTTACTGAGTTGGCTGTGCAGGCAGAGCGACCGGCCCGGCAATGCCCAGCAGCCTGTGGTGTCTCCTGCTTGCCTCACATCCTGCTGCCTCCTCTTGTCTTCTCCTTGTTCCTTCCTGGGGGTGGCAGGGAGGGCTGCCTGCCCCTGGGTCCTGCTGTGTGCCTGGGAGCTGCCAAGAGACAGCAGCTCCCAGGGAGCCCCAGGACACCTCTGGCAGCTGGTCAGTGAGGGATGGGACAGGTAAGAGTTGGTGTGGAGCTGTCACACCTTCCAGGACTGGATAATGCCCGGCAGTGGTGGGGGTTGCCATGGGGCAGCACCTGGGGCAGAGGGGTAGATATGATGCTTCTGGGACAGAAGGATGTACAGGGGAAGCAGGTGATGTGGGAGAGGAGAATGGGAATGGATGGATGGTCAGATGGATGGATGCACGGATGGATGGATGGATGGATGGACAGACAATGGTCCTGTGTGGGGTCATAGTGACCTGCAGTGGCTGCTGGCAACTCAGCAGCTTCCCCTGTTTTGAGGCATCAGGGGATGCTGTTGCCCAGGTCTTCTTTTCCCAGGCAACTCAGCCTAGGGCCCACTGCTCATGCAGGAGGTGTCTAGAGCCCTGAAGCTGCCCATGAGGGAGCTCTGGTCCTGGGCAGGGTGCAGCTCTTGCTCCAAGGGGGATATGTGAGCCAGCTGCCAGGAGTTTGTGATGGCTGATGTAACACAGAGCAAGAGAGGAGTAAATATGGGGAAGGGAGAAAAAAGGACAGGAAGGGAAAGGAAGAGGGCAGAGGGCAGTAGGAGAGGATGGTACCCACTTCACTGCCATTGCCCTGTAGGGATAAAGGGGCAAAAGAGATCCATTGCCCCAGGAGAAATGTACCACTCCCAGCAGGTACACAGGGCTGGGCACTGAGATGCTGGCAGGTGCCAGCTCACAGCTGCAAGACCTTCAGGACTAAAGGCTACCAGCCGATGTACAACCTCATCTGCTGGCAGCAGGGAAGCACAGAGAGGACCACAGGCTGGTGCTGGGCACGCTGGGTTAGGGGTGAGTTGGGAAGGACCCAGATGGCAGGGACAGAGAGGAAAAGGAGAGAAGGCAAGCAACAAAAATAAAGAGTGCCAGGAAAGAGGAGGGGAGTTGAAAGGATGTCATAGAGTTAAAATGTTCACCTTGATGGGCTGTGACAGGTTTAATTTCCAGAGTACAACCATTAAAGTGACGGATGGGAGGCGTTCGTCTCGTGCTTGGCGCACACGTCGTGGCTGCAGGAGGATTTGTTTTGTTGCTGTTATTTATGAGGTTGTTTCTGCAGCAGCCAGGCACTCATCCAGTGCTGGGGGGGGGGGGGGGGGACACGACAGAGGAGAGGGCACGATTGGTTCTGAGGGAGTTGGGGTGCTGATTTACGGCAGCTTAGCTGGATGACTCACGTTGTAAACATCGACAAATGCCATTAAAGCTGCATCTCCTTCCTGCCTCCGGCCCGGCGATGTCCTCGCTCCGTGGGATGCAGCCCGCCCTGCTCTGCACCCCGGAGGGGCTGTCTGCTCCTCCCCAGCGGGGACACAAGGGTTCCCTCCCTCCAAGAGGGACGTCCAGGACACCAGAAAGATGCAGGGATGTCCCGTGGTGGTGGTGCTCCATGGGAATGATACCCAGGATACCTGAAGGGCTTGTGCAGACCGGGTTCCCAAGGTTCTTCGGCTCTGTCTCCCTCCGCCTCTTTGCCAGCCTTGGCCCCGTAACTTCTTTTGGCAACGGATATGTGTGTCCCCAGTGCTCTAAGGAGCTCCAGGTGACCTGGATCCGACAAGGTGCCTCCCCATCCCTCTGCCAGCCCCCTCCAGGCT